CCTCTCTGTTATAAGAACACGAGTCATTGGACTAGTCTATTTGAGGATGATCTCCTCTGAAGAGCCTTACCTTAATTACATCTGCAAAGACCCTTATTCCATATAACATCATATTCTAAGGTTCTGGGTGGACAATTGAACCCATTGCAGGGAGTGAGGGATCCTCTGAGGCATTCAAACGAAGTCCCAGACACAATCCAAACCTGAAAACATGGTTCTTCTCACTGGAGCAGCTCCCCAGGTGTTACCTCATCCCTCACAGAGCAGCAGCAGTGGGTCTAAGTCTCTTCAGCAGCTGCCAAGGGCCAGGCGGTGTGCCAGGCACTGTGGGGCAGAAGATGAGTAAACCCAGCCTCGGCCCTGAGGCAGTTTGCAAGCTAGGAGGGAGGGAAAGGCCAGCATGGAGCAGTAGTTCTCCCCCAGATCAATTTTGCCCCCCAAGGGACATTGGTGATGTCTGGAGACATTTCTGAGTATCATGACTGGAGGGGGGAATGTGCTGCTGGCATCTAGTGGGTAGAGGCCATGGATGTTCCTAAATGTGCTGCAATGCACAGGACAGCCCCCTTTAATGAGGAATTATTGGGCCCCAAATGTCAGTAGTGCTGGTGTTGAGAAACTCTGGTACAGGAGAAAAATAGAATCTTTTAGGACTTTAATAAAATGTTATAATAAAACTCATACTGCCCCTGAGTTGGTGATTTTCAGGCCTGGATTCTCAGAATTCAACTTTGATTCATCACTTATGGACCTATCTAAAATAGCTTAAGATGTTCCTTAGGCCAACTTCTTCATTTTACAGATGAGGAAACAGGAACTGAGAAAGAAAATAATTATAATAGCAACCAGAGCCATTTCTTGAACATTTATAATGTGTCACACAGTGTAGTAGTGTTTTATGAAATTTGATGATCACCACAACCCTATGAAGCAGATACTCTATTATCCCTATTTTATACATGGGGCTAGTAAGTCTCAGGGAGGTTAAGGAAACTGCCCAAGGTCCTACAGCTTATAAGTGGCAAACTGGGTTCAAACAGTGCTCCCTATGATGTCAAAGACCTGGATCTTTCCATCACGCACACACACTGCAAGTAAGTTTAGTGACTTGCTAGAACTGTGAGGAGTGATTCTTCCCTGTACTGTTCATTCCACAGCCCAACCCTGCCTGCCCCCTTCTGTTTACAGCTGCTCCAGCCTCCTGCCTCATGGGGGGGGGGGCGGGGAGAAAAAGAAGGTTCTCCCTTACTCCGGGGAGGAGAACTGCTTTTCCTTCCGTCACTGCCCAGAAAATGAAGCCCTACCAGCCCATTTGCTCTCCCAAAGACCCATCCCTCCTCCTCCTAAGTAAGTCAACTAAACTAAATCTTCCCATTCTGTGGGATTTCATGGACTATTACAATTAGATAGGTAATAGATAGATAGATAGATTGATAGATAGATAGGTTAGATAGATAGATAGATAGATAGATAGATATAGATAGATAGATAGATAGATAGATAGATAGATAGATAGATAGACAGACAGATGATAGATGACATCTATGTAGGATGCCAACTTTTTATCTTGGCAAGTACAGATACTAACAAAACCAGTGATCATCCTCCATCATGGTCATTTCACAAAATGAAGAATATTCCAATGCCAAAAAAAGAAGGAAGGACATAATCCCAGAGTAAAAATAGTCCTTTAACTTTACAAATAAATATAACATTATGAAAAAGCTACAACAGTGCTGTTTCTGTATTGTATAGTGAATCACTCTACAGTTACTTATCTCTGACGTTCCACATTCAATGAGAGTTTACTTTACTGCAGGGTGGAGCCCCAAAGTGAAAAATGCAGAGATTCTCATAGTTGAAGAACCCTCAGAGTCCTGCCATCGGGACCACCCCTGGTCTAGTGCGAGGAGCTTGATCTGAATCCCAGCACAGCCACATGTGAAAGGGTGGGGGTGGGGGGCTTGGGCCACATTCCTGAATCTCACTGGGCCTCAGTCTCTGCCCTTGTAAGATGGAGATAAATGAATGATCTCCTCTCAGAGCCAAAGAGTATGTGTTAGGTGCTTCCAGCAAGGCCCAGTTAGTCCCGCCTCCCTCTCTCAGAATCCAGGTGTCCATTATCCCTGGCAGTGGTCCCCGCCTCTAGTTGCACATTTCCTGTTCACGACACGGTGGCCATCTTATACCAGACAGCAGCTCTCACAGGAGCAGGTCCTTCCCCCATCCAGCCCAGCTCTCCTCTGGCACAAATGAGAATCGCTGGATTCCTACTTCTCCATCACAACACCTCCAGCACCTGAAGGCAGCAAGCCCTCCTGCCCTGAGTCTTCACTGCAAAGTGGTGGACATGGCTACCCAGAGAGAAGATCCACATAAGAAACCAGGGTGCAGACACCAACACAAGCTTCCCGGCCAGGATTGTATAACATGATTTATAATCTCTGCCCTACTCCCTGCCCAGGGGTAAAGATCACTTTAAAAATGACTACATAGCTTATGCAAATATACCACAGGATGGAAAGGGAAGTGAACACCTGTGCGCCTGTGCTTACAAAAGCACATCCATCACATTTTTCAAAGTCTTTGGAAGCAGAGATCCAAATATCCTCTCTCTAGATGAGTGTACATGGATGCTAATATCTGTATTCTGAAGGCACGGTAACTTTTCAATTCCTATTTCCTCCCTGTCAAAGGGGAGGGATCTGTAACTGCTTGTTCTAGAAAGTGGGACAGTGGGAGCACTTGTCCAGTGAGCTGCTGTGAGGGCTGGAGGGGTGGGGGTTGAGGGCGTTAATCTTGATATTAACATTGTAGGAAGTGTGGGTGGAGAGACCATCCACTAAAGGACCCTTCTGTGGGTAGAAGTGCCCTAGTAAAGAAGAAGCGGCAGGTTCGAGTGTTGGGCCTGGGAGCCACCAGCTTGAGACAGCATCTCCTTATCCCAAGCTATCTTTCCCAAAATGCACCCCCCTCCATATTTGGGTCTGACTAAAATCTATTTGGGGTGGGGAGAGGGAACCCATCGTGACTGGGCTGAATAGCCCACCTTCCCAATAAACTTTTGCCATGGAAAGAAATCTCTCCCATCCCTCTCATAAAGAAGGATATTAGAAATGCTGATTTGTGGGGTCTGAGGTTGCCAGGCAGGAAACACAAAAGAAGAGGTCAGAGGAAGAACCCTGGCTACCTGGAGGAGGGAAGGGAGTGGAAGCCAAGGACCAAAGGCAGTTAGTCAGAGGGAGAAAGAGCAGAGGCTGGAGAAAGGCTGCTGGAGGAAGGTTCTCCCAGGCAGGCAGGGCCTGCAGAGAAAAGTGGGAGGGCTTTTGGATTCAGGATACAGGAGGAGAGGGCGGCCAACATGGGCCCAAAGAGCACCGACCACCTGTGCTTAGGGCAGGGGAGGCACCAGGCTCCCGCTGGGAAGAACCGAGTTTGTAAAAGGGGTGTTGTGAAGAAAGCTGGGTTTGTCCTTGGCGACCATTGGTAGGGAGGGAGGGAGGGAGGATGAGAAGGAGATAGGGAAGGGCGAGGGAGAAAGGAGGGAGGGAGGAAGCAGAAAGGAAGTTGTTTACTCACTTACTCATTCAATTAAATGTACATAGACTCTCTAGGGTCCAAAGCACTGTACTGAACCCTTTGGAGACAACTCCAAGATGAATCAGCAATGTCTTGGTGAAAACCTCCAGGCAGGGCACCTGAGCTCTCGGCTTCCCCTTCCTTCCACACACACAAAAGTATCTAATATCAGGACAGTATCTAAAATCAGTCATTCATATCTTATTGCCTTATTGCAAATATAGAGGCATTTGCACTTGAACCCACATTTCCGATTATGGAATGAAAGGTTTTCATCCCACATTAAAGGACTTTGAGCTAACTCAGCTCTGGTGGAGAAGTATTTGGCAGGTGAGCAGCTCTGAAGATGCTCCGAGTGGGTGACCATCTACCTCCCCCATGTGGGGACCAGGGGATGAGAGAGCTCCAGTGATGGAGAGATGCACAGGTGGGCTCTAGATGAGAGATCAGAACAGGGAGTCAGGCTTGGTGCCATATCTTTACAGGCCTAAGAACGGGAGGGTGGGAATCTGACTTGATGTCATTCATGTGGTGGGTGGGGAGAGGCATTTAGATATTGGAATGTCATTACTGTCCTGTGCTGACAAAGCACATCAAATCCCAGGCCGCACTAGAAGATGTTCTCCGGCCCAGACACAGCCTGGCGGTTTAAGAGCAAGGGTGGACTGGGTTCAAGTCCAACCTCCGGCAGCTCCTTGCCCTGTGATGAGCTGCTTCATCTTGCTGAGCCTTAGCTGTCTCCTCTGTCCCATAGAACTAATGCTTAATTCACAGGGTCATTGTGAGGTTTCAGTGTGATGAAGGAAGTGTTTAGTGCAGTGGCTGGTGCACACACACGCACACAAGTGTTTAGTGCAGTGGCTGGTGCACACACACGCACACGCACACACACATTTTTGTATAAAATATCACTACTCTGATAGGCAAACAATGCCATTTCTGGGCTGCTTGCAATATGCCAGACGTTGTTTCAATGCATTACATGTCTTAACTCATTTAACCCTTTTGAAAACCCTATGAGATAAGTAGTATTATTATCACCATTTTATAGATAAGAAAACTGAGGCACAGAGACATTAAGTAACTCACTCAAGATCACACAGCGAGAAAGTGGTTGAGTCTGAAAATAAGATGCCATTTAATAAACTAAAACCTTTGTTAGTTTTTTAAAGGGCACCACTGTTCCCTGTTTAGAATACTAAAAGCAATTGATTAGAATGATATTATATTTATTTCTCACAAGAAAAAAAACACACCAGCTTGAGTAGTTTCTTACTTATGTGGATCTCATCTGATTTTCCTTTTGGCTTCAGCACAAAAACCTTGTATTGCCCTCCCCTGAGAGCTAGCTGGAGAAGGATGCTGAAAACAGGAAGGGTGTGTGAGTATTCAGACTTCGCCTTTGCTTCTAACTGTTGCAGGTTACCAGGTGCCGGGGCCTGAGGAGCCATGACAATGGAGGCTCTCCCCAAGGTCGTGGAGGTCGACGAGAAGTCTCCAGAATCCAAGGACCTGCTGCCCAGCCAGACCGCCAGCTCCCTGTGCATCAGCTCCAGAAGTGAGTCTGTCTGGACCACCACCCCCCGGAGTAACTGGGAAATCTACCGCAAGCCCGTCGTCATCATGTCCGTGGGCGGTGCCATCCTCCTCTTCGGTGTGGTCATCACCTGCTTGGCCTACACCCTGAACCTGGGTGACAAGAGCCTTAAGGTCCTTAGGATGATAGGGCCTGCCTTCCTCTCCCTGGGACTCATGATGCTGGTGTGTGGGCTGGTGTGGGTGCCCATCATCAGAAAGAAACAGAGGCAGAGACAGAAATCGGTTTTCTTCCAGAGTCTCAAGTCCTTCTTCCTGAATCGCTGATGGCAGCCTCACCCTCTGTCCTCCCCATCCCCCTACCACCTCAACCCGGAGAAGGAGATCTGACCAACATTCAACATCCCTGTCTCCCTGGTGGGGTTTGCCATAAAACTGATCCTGGCAAACCCTCTTCCTGGCCCTGTGGGCAAGAGAGCTCAGGGCTCCACCCTCCATGTGGCTGGGGAACATTGCTGGGTGTATCTCATTTAGTCTCTCTGTTATTACTTAGATCCTGGCCACAGCCATCCCCTTTAAGGCCCTCATTCCCTGCCCATGCATCCAGGCATCACTCATCTAACTCTCTCTGCCAAGCGCTATGCACGTTGGGAAATTCCTTGGGGTGCCCTGTGCCCCAAGGAGAACCTCATGTTTACATATCTGAGTGCCTGAGCTGGATTCCGCATTTGCATCCTTCTAGAACCAAAACTGACCAACAGAGGTCCTTCACAAAAGAGAGGGGAGGCTGAGTTCTGACCCATTGGGTTTGCCAGTCCAGCTCCCTTCGTGGGCAAAATACTGACTTGCATTACAAGAGACCAGGCAAGTCACAAGTATGAAACATTCCAAAGAGTGACAGTGAAAGATGGCTGGGGAAAAACACTTTCCAAGAATGCACATTCCCCTAGACCTGGCTCTGGGAGTCAGCCAGCAGAGGAAGTTCAGTTCCCAGTTGTATAGTATCTACACCAGAGGCAGTGGAGTGGGCCAGGAGGTGTCACAGTTTCCCCCTGACCTTCTACTCCTTCTCCTTGACTCCTCTCTCCACCAAACTTGCCAATTAGCCAAGGACAAGTGCACGTTGCCCTAACTTCCTCCTTGCCCCCATCTGCAGTTCTAGAACAGCAAGATAGAAAACTGCAGAGGGATTCTGTAGGATTGTTCTCTCGTTTACCACCATTGAGAAACAAAACCAAGAAGATCAAATTCCACATTTGAATAGTATGTAGGTTTCCAGAGATGGAATTCGCTTTCGAAAATCCCCACTTCTGCCATCCCTGTCCCCACCCACCAAACAAACAAACATTTATTGAGTGCCCTGCTCTGCGCCAGGCCAGGGGTTGGGAGCAAGACAGACACGGTCCCTGCTCTCATCTTCTTTCCAAAGTAAGAGCTCCAGCCAGGCCAACAGGTGATTGGAATACCCTGTGCTCAGTCCTTGATTGGGAAAATGTGGGTGGGTGTGGGAACACGGAGGAGTCACCTAATGCAGACTTGGCAGAGGACAGAGAGATTGCTGGAGGCTGTCTAATCCAAACTGAGAACAAAAGGAAAGATAAGAGCAAAGAGGGGAAAGGAAAAGGATTTCAGCAGCAGGAACTGCCTATGCAAAAGCTTGGGGAGAGGAACAGGGAAGCATGATAAAATTAGGAAATTGCATAGCAACTTCCCAACCTTCCAATGTTCGGTTTCATCCCCTCTCAGCCTGCTTTCTCCCTGCTTCCCCAAGTGCCTAGTGCAGCTTCTCAGGGCACATTGAGGGCCTCCTGGCATGTATGGTAGAGACTGGAAGGGTTTCCAGAGGGGTCACCAAGTGAGGTAAGCGCTCCCCAAACCTGGGGCTTCCTGTAACAACCAGAGGCCCTTAGATGGCAGACCAGAAGGGGTACTTTTGAGAAAGCTAGCCACCATGCTGCCCTGGGCCAGGCCTGAGGCCCAGTGGGGAACACTTGATAATAAGGTGTGAAAGGAAGGCATCCTGCACTGTAACCATCATTGGCTTGAGCTGACTCCCTTCACTCCTCAACCTTCTGCCCTGCCCCGGTCACCATGGCAACCTTTCTCTAACAGGCCTCCAGGTATCTCTGTCTTTCATGGTGGTTCCATATGCAGAGTCAGAGCCTCACCTTGTTCCCTCTGCATCATGGGAAATTCCACAGAAGCAGGTACCTGTGACATGGGTACACACCCCTGCCTCACCCCTCTAAGGAGCCAGAGTTCGGGGAGGCTGTGGACTTTGAGCCTCACCCAGATGGCCATGTCTTTCATTCAGACAGTGTGGCCGGGTCCTCTCACCCACCAGTGCCCTGTACACAGGAGGTCAGGACCAATATTGGGGGTGTTGCAAGTGTTATGTCACTAATTGTAGTTCTAGTGCCTCAAGTGACAAGGCTTGCCGATCATTTCCCTCTCTCTGACATAAATGCAGACTCAATATTGGCCTTATAACATCACTCGCACATTCCTCGATGCTGTCTTACATGGCAGCAAACGGGGTGGACTCCCAGCTGGCTCACTGGAAATCCACACTTCCTACGTCCCATTTCATCTGCCCAGAAGCTTGTAGTCCGGGCACAGCTGTAGGAGCAGGGCCCAAGTGGACGCTGCTACCATGTGTGTCTTAGTAGACGGAAGTCTGGGAACAGCCATGGCTCTGGAAGGTGTCCACGTTCTGGACTCACCTTGCAGTCAGCAGCAGTACTCACCCACATTCTCTGCCCCTCAAGCTACGTTGCTCAGAAAGAAAAATGAGGAAAGGCTCTGAGGAAAGATTCCCAAGCATCGTTCGATCCCACTGGGATTCCCCATGTGAGTGTGGGCCTAGGAGCATGCCAACATCATGCTGAGGGGCCTTTGCAGAAGACTGTCACCGCACAGAAGCCTGGGGTATGAATGTGCCTGCTCTGTGAATGCAGCCCAGGCCAGATGCCACATTTCTGGAAAAAAGCATCACCGCCATGACTCCTTTCATTCTCATGGATCACAGGACAGGCCCAGCATCCACGTGTTTGGCTAACTGGATTGTATTATCTCACCCACAGCTACTCTGTTTGGGGGAGTCCGATTTAATCTGAGTCCTAAAGGGATTGATATAATATTGAATTGTATTCTATTTAACAATGTCTGCTGTGTTTTCTGTTCCATCAGGAATTCCAAGGCTATCCACTTATTCATGCGTCTGAAAGGCCCTCCCCCATCAGCACACCCCCTCCCCTGAGAGCTGTCTGGGAGAAAGGGGACAGTGTGGGTTTCATGCATGGTTCCTCAGGTGCCTCATAGGAGCTGATGGCCCTACTCTGACATGCTGATGGGGCAGACAGAGCAGAAGCTCCTGTCTCCTTCCATCCCCACAAGCCTAGTAGTAAGACCAAAAAAGGGATATGGAAAAATCCAGAATCAATCAGTGGTCTAGGGTGAGGCAGGAAGCTACTTCAGGGTCAGCCTATCAATGTCCCCATGAACTCAGGAGAGCAAGCACAAGAAGGAGTGGCAGTTCAGCTCCCAGGACCTCCATGGCCTCCTTCTTCCTTCTAAGCCCTTCTCCCTTTCTCCTGGTCCAACCTCTCTGCTCCTCTAGGTCTTTAGTCCTGACCTTCTTCCTCCCCACCAGACTCACCATGTCCTTGGCTTTCTGCTTGCTCTGGCTTGCTCTGTCCCTAGAGGAAAAAGAAAGAGGATGGTGCTGGGTCTGGCCAAGCAGGCAGTATTTCATCCCTCCTCCAATGCCTGCAGCATTGCCAGAGTCATGACGCCTCATCCCCCCCTGTTCCCCACCCCCATCACCTCATCACTATCTGCAGCCCTCAGAGATCAGAGGTCCCTGGAAAACTAAAATCCAGAGCCCCAAATGGGTCTGACATCAGTGTGTGCAAGGGAACCACCTGAGCACGCACCTGGTGAGGCTTCTGCGCAACACTAGCTGGGGGCTGTGGGGGCTTTGGGGTGGTGGGGGGGCGGGGGAGGGCTGTGAGAAGGGAGCGAGGGAGAGAAGATAAGCGGCAGTTGGGAAGGACATTCTGCAGCGGTGTCTGAAGAGCAGAGGAAGGCCCCGGGCTAAAAGTAGGGAACATTTCTTGGGTGCTTACTGCATGGCCATTTTACAGGTGAGGTAATTGAGGAACAGGACACCAAGCTAGGACAACATCAAGCCAGGACTGAAATCCAGGTGGTCTGGCTCCAGAGGCGACACCCATTATCCCCACCCTGTTCAGCTCTCCAAAGGCCTCTGAGGGACAGCAGGAGGCACCAGAGTCGCCGTGACGGGCTCTGGGCTGCAAAGCGGGAAAAGCAGGTGTGGACCTGGGGTTGGTAGACAGGCGGGCAGGACAAACCAAGCAGGAACCCAGAACACCAGCCATGAGAGCAGCCAGGAGCCAGGAGGACAGGACAACAGGACCCACCAGCCAAACAGAACCCAGCATTCTGAGCACCTTCAGTGCCAGGCGCCATGCTGGGGCGTTTACATAGTTTTTGTTTGTATGTCTCCCACCATCTAATCCTTTGTAGTACATTTTACAAAGAAACAAATGGGCCTCAGAAAAGTAAGTTACTTGTCCCAGGTCTCACAGCCCATAAGCAACAGATCAGAGATTTCAGCCCGAAGCTACCTCCAGAGCCCACGTGTTCTCGTCCCCTGACCTCCTAGTTTTGTGCCATGTGAGTGTTCAGAGGCAGAAATGGGGGGTCCCCAACCGCCAGCACAAGGTGACACTGTCAGAGCTGGATGGCTTTGGTACATCTAGCCTTTGTCCCACAGGCCAGGCTCTCCTGCTGATGAGCAGGAGGATTTGAAACCGGCTAACACTGGCTATTATGGCTTCACATTACATGGTAGGCCAAGTTCATAACCCCCTCAGAAGTTCAAGACCCTTTCCCACAGGAATGCTCAGAACCAAAGGAGCAGTCAAGATCCAATATCACTTCTCACGGGAGCAGAACTGCCGAACCCCAAGCCTTCCTGCAGGGAGAGGTGCTGTGGGCCTGTTCCCCCTTTCTCAAAGACCCTCCCTCCCTCATTCAAGACTAGAGAGGAGTCACTGACGAGCCTGGGCCTGGCCCCTCCTTGAACCTGCTAAATCAGGTCCTTGCCCATCCAGGTCCTACCTCCCACCCCTCCCTGGAGCCCTGAGCCTGTGCTCCCAGCACCCACAGGGAGTACTGTATTCCCATCTGAGTTTTCCATCTATGCAGATGGCCACAACAGCTGAGCCAGGCCCTGGCACCATGTAGTCAGCTCCCTTGGGTCTCCAGTGGGGGCCTGCTGTACTTGAGGGACCAGCAAGGGTCACCCTCCAAATGAAGACCATCTCCCACTGCCCAGCAGAAACCCCTGGCAAAACCACCAAAGTGACTGCACAGAATTGGAGGAGCAGTTGCCAACGGTCCCTCTGATCATTATGTAGACCAAGTTGGGTTCATCTTAGATCAATAAAGAAATGTCGACATAAATAATGGTCATCTTCCCATGGGGTTGTACAGGAAGAAACCTGAAAGAGAAGGGAAGCATGATTCTATTATGGTAGCAGTTGCCTAAGTCATTCGCCAGTTCCCTGGCCCTCCCTCCTTTCTCTGATCCTTTCTCAGACACAGTCTCTGGGAATAGCGGCTAACCCAGCATTTCAATCCCAGAACACTGACCATGTGCCAGACACCTAAACTGGGCGTAAGGTGATGAACACATGAGCTCTGACCTCAGGAAGCACTCAGGCTCGTCCCCAGAAGGGAGAGCCAAGGGAATAAATCGTGATACAGTATGACAGGGATGGAGGGATGCAGTGGGCCCTGCGGGAGGACAGTCCAGCCCCAGTCAACCTTTCCAGCCCTCTGGAACACGGCTGTGCCAGGTTTTCACATCAGGGGTGGGAAGGAGGAGCCTGGAACCAGAGGACAGAAACAATAGTGGATTGGGAGTGACCTTTGGTTAGTAGGGGGAGGCTGGAACATAAAAAGCCACTCCCCTTTGATTATATTCACTGCTCTATTTCATGGTCTTGCTTTTCACGGCTTTCTCTGAGACCCTTCCTTCACATGTGTTGTAAAGGCACCACTTTTGAACAATATGCTTAGGGACATCACCTTTGCTCATCTGACTGCACTTCTGTCCCGAGAGCCTGCCATCACAAAAACAGCAGTGCGAGTTTGTCCTTTCCTAAGATGTTGGTCTCCCTGAAGGTTCTTCCCTAGCCTGCATCTCTCCTCTTTCTAACATGTCTCTGAATGACTTCCTCCATGACGATGGCTTTAATTATTCTCTGTGTGCTGGTGACTCCCCAAATCTATCCCTGTATGTCTAAATGCCTATTGGACAATGTGTTAGCTCCCTATTGCTGCTGTAAAAAAAAATCATAAATTTAATAGCTTAAGACAATCAAATTTATTGTCTTATCATTCTGAAAGTCAGAAGTCCAAAATGGATCTTACAGAGCTAAAATCAAAGTGTTGGTAGGGCTGCGTTCCATCTGCGAGCTCAAGGGGAAAATTTCTTCCTTTCTTTAGCTAGCTTCTAGAGGTTGCTACCTTCCTTGGCTTGTGGCCCCTTCCTCCATCTTCAGA